AACAGTGAGCTTTCACTGTTCAACAAAGAAGCAAGAGCTTCTTTTCTTACTGACTATTTTTCATCAGTGTTCAATGTCATTTCAGTTAAATAAAAAAAATCCAATGTAGAATTAAGATAAGATAAGATAACACATCCTTAATCCCAGGTGGGAATCCCAGAAGTAATGGAGATGTTTGGACTCAAAGTCCCAAAATACCATGAAGCATTTACGCTGACTTGCAGCAGTCCGGCTCGGCTGGTTAGTGTGGACGACGACAAACTGCTAGTCAGACTCGCTGTAGAAACAGTAATATAGTTCATTTAAACTGATAGTAATAAAATGGTTGGGTCTTCAGCTGATTCTTGAAGGTTGTGAGGGATTTGTAGAGCAGTTGGGCAGTTAACACCAGCGTAACAAATCTCAGAGATAAAGACATTGTTGTGATTTGCTTTGTGAAGACCTGAATACAGGTTGTCAGATGTGGTAAAGGTTCCTGACACATCTTTATATTTACGTTTATGGCATTTGGCAGATGTCATTATCCAGAGCAGCGTACATTTATCACTTTTTTTTTTTATACAGCTGAGCAGTTGAGGAATAAGGGCCTTGCTGAAGGGTCCAGAAGTGGCAGCAGCTTGGCGTTGTTGGGATTTTTGAACTCACGACCTTCCAATCGGTAGTCGGATCCTAACATCTTGGTTATAGTAGGAAATTTGACAAAAAAAAAAGAAGTCTGTCTTCGTAAGGTTGTGTTAGAGATGAGCAATTTCTGAAGAAAATGATTATGTCTGCAACATCTATTTCCTTTATGTTAAATATGTGTTGTTCTTTGTTTTATAGCTTTGCAAGTGTGTGCAAACAAAGGCTTCTATAACTACAAGTGATCGCATATCAAGCTTTGCAAAACAAATCAACCCTCTGGACCAAATGAATGGAGGATTCCAGAAGAAGCCTCTAAAAGAGGAAGAACCTGAAGATGAAGAATACATCTGTAATAAAAGTTTGGGTCTAAATATCACTTTCAGTAATAATTTGACATATTGAGTCTGACTAGCCATTTCAGTCACGAAGCAGTCAGTTATTTTTGTATTGTGTACTTTGTACTTACTTGAGACTTACTTTTGTGTACTCAAATTTAAATTGTGGATCTTCAGGTGGTGGAACATCTATCTCTGTGGTTCAACAGCAGAATGGAGGATTCCAGAAGAAGCTTATAAAAGAGGAAGAACCTGATGAGGATTATCTATGTAAGACTACAGGGCACACTAGTGTCCAGTTTATCGTAGATTTGATCTAACTTGGTGTTAATTTGTATGGAGCTCCCTTTGGTTGGAATGTGCTGTATTTAAATGGTCAGAAGTCATCACAATGTGAATTCATGTCTTCATACTGGTTTTCCTTATGGTTGTGTGCATAGTTATCAAATACCACACCTACACAAAGAGTCACGTACACTATATGGCCAAAATTTTGTGCACCACTGACTATCACACACGTATCTGTTTCTTCCCCAAACTGTTGCCACAAAGACAAAGTTGGAAGCACACAATTGTATATAAAGTCTCTGTACACTGTAGCATTACAGTTTCCCTTCACTGGAACTAAGAGGCTCAAACCTGTTCCAGCATGACAATGCCCCTGTGCACAAAGCGAGCTCCATGAAGACATGGTGTGTGAAGGTTGGAGTGGAAGAACTCGAGTGTCCTGCACAGAGCCCTGACCTCAACCCCACTGAACACCTTTGGGATGAACTGGAACACCGACTGCAC